TATATGAAACTAACTCTTACTTTTTTATTTGTATTCTCTAATAGTTAGGACTATTTAGACAAGAATCGAACGCATAAGTCATGTAAATATATTCACTCTCTCGTCTTGACTTAATTTAATTCGAATCAAAACCTGAGTTGATTTACCATTTCTGTACCTCTCTAACCAAAACGATGTACTCAATTTTGATCCTAAATAATGTTTTTACTGTGTCAATAAGTATTGTTGCTCTTTCTGTTACTGTAATCACCCAATATAATCAAAAATAACTTTGTTCGAAACAATCACCATTAATATATTTTTTTCTTTTGTCGACTGTCATTATTGTTGTGCAACATGAGATTGAAGTAAAGAAAAATATTGTGATCTTGGCTCAATAGATCGTTAAAAACATAGACTAGTCATCGAAATTATGACTTGTACACGAGTAAAAAGGAGAAGTTCTATTTGATAATAGATTCCAATAATAAATTTTTAACACTTGATTACGTCTTTAAACATTTGCTCAAAAATAAAAAAAAAGACTTATACCATTAGAATGCAATGTTTTCAAGGGAGATTATTTGTTTCACTCAGAAGAATTTTTGATATTAACCCTTTCTTGCCTTTGACCAAACTTGAGGGTTCAGATGGACGATTCGCTCAATAAAAGTAATCTTATGACCCCTAGTATACGTAGGAGAAGTTTGAATCAAATCCATTAAGTGTCAGTATATTAGATACATAATACGTTTGTTATTCTTTTTATTTGAAAAAATGTCTGAAAATGACAACAAAGCAAGGACAATAGTGTGATTCATATACATATATGAACACCGCATTCACGTCGTGCACTGTCAGTTGCATTGTCGTTTGTTTAGAAATTTGAAAAATCTATTCTTGTAGTTGATGAAATAATTCGAAATGATTAGTTTCAGCGTAACAAAGCCAGACTTTAGATTTCTTACAGTAAGTGCTGGTTTTTTTACGACAGCCAGGAAATTGACACCATTTACTTTGGAAATTTCTTGCTGTGCCATTTAAATCTTTCTAACCAGGAAAATGTCCAATTTGATCATATCTTGAAAAGTCATTCACACTAAGTGTCATTAATTGGACACCGGCAAGAGATATAACTAATTTTTGAACTAAACTCAACTTGAAGTTCAAGAGATCAATGTCAGAAGATGTTATTTGTTTATAAATGAGCCACGAGTTGATGATAGAAGAATCCAGAAAATTATAAAAAAATTTTCGATACCACTTGTTTCCTTTCAATTCAATTCGATATAAGCTCATGAACATGTCAAAATGATCTACTCCGCCCATGCATTGATTGTATGCGTTTATTGAATATGGGCGTGATATTGTTATGTGAGTTTTACTTTTCCGATCAAATCTTTCGATTTCACCTACAGGCAAGGGACCAAAACAGTTCGAGGCTACGTAAACTGCTTTATTGTCAAACCACTTTGTAACCACTAAGTGTCCGTCCTCAGTAGTTTGAAAATCAAATGATCCTCTACCCTGTCGTTCCAGTTGCTTATCAGATTTTAGCAAAGACGAATTGAACCGATTTGCTCTCATTGTAGATACGACATAATATTGTTTGGCATTTAGAAATTTGAGTAATTTAATGGTTGCGAAATAATTATCATAGCCAATAAATGAAGTTTTAGGTAAAATTTCTGTAAGTCGGATCACAACGTTACCAGCTGCTCCGACTTCTGAGTCTACAATTGTTAAATGATTGTCGCCTTCAACTTCAAACTGATATAAATAGCCTGACTTTCCTGCACGTGCATACATTTTGTAGCCCCATTTATGAGGTTTGGAGGGAATATATCTTTTCAAGCTGCTGAATCCCTTGTGAGGCACTATTTGTTCATCGACACTACAAATTGCCTCTGGAAATGTTGCTGATTGAAACTTTTCATTGAAGTGATTTATAAGTGGTCGGATTTTGAAAAGTGTATCATAATTATGATCAGTTTTTGTTGGTTCATCTTCATTGTTGTTAAAATGTAGGATCGATAAAATTTCATCGAACCTATGACGAGTCAAAACAGATGATATGAGTGCTTGTTTCGTAGGTTTCGACCAATACATTCGATGTCTTGGAAGACGAATTACTGACATATATATCAATACAGCAATAAATTTCCTAATGTCTATCTCTGATACATCAGAAATTTGAAATACCTTTTGGTTTTTATATCTGTTTGATTCAAATGTAATTTTTTTAATCAATGTAGCATCTACAAAATACTCAAACACAGCAAGCGGAGTTTTTTTGGATAGGTTGACGAAATAAGAGACAGGATTCGATTGGCTTTCAGGAAAACAAATTGAGTTAAAAGTTCGACGTTTCCATTTGATTTCTTCTGATTTCTTTTTCTTCGGAGGTGATTCTTGACTGTCTTCATCAGAGTTATGATCGATATGATCAATCATATGATCAGTTTCATCGTCTTCGGAATTTGAACTTCCGCTGGGTATCGAGATAAACATTTTTCAGAGTAAAAAAGGTCAGAACAACTGAAGCAATAAACTCTTGGTTCACCTGGACGTAATAATCGTCTGATAGTCTTAATAGAAGACTATTTTATTGTATTATTCTGTATCTGATCTCAAGATGCTGTTATATTCACTACACATTTACAAGAAAATGATCTTCACAGGTAATGGTCAGTACAAATACCTGAGCAACGAAGAATGAAATTATACTAAAAATATTGGAATATACTTCAGTCAAATCGAAATGAAAGTGAATGCATTTAAATATACTTCAACGTACAGTTATAGAAAAGAGAATACGACATACGCTATTATCAGCGCGTGACGACAGAAAAGAAAGAAAAAAGAAGATATATACTCCAACGAATATTACTAAAGTAGAACAAACAAATTCTTTCTCTCATGACATGATCATAGTGCGTACCATAACATTATGTATTCATAAAACGTCAAAAATATTATTTTTATAGTAGAGAATAGTTTCAAACTGTTGATTTCGTGTACACAATATACAGACTTTAAGTAGATGTAAAATCCTTTTCTAAATGTCTCATAGTTTAAAAGAATCAATTTTTTATAAAATGGTATTTATAAATACCATAGGGCAAGAAAGGATTAACTACCATGAACATCGTTTGATAAATGTACAACGTAGTTATACGCTATTCTAATCATTAGGTACTTATTCATCTTAATCATACTCTCGTATACACAAGCACACAAATAATATGAGAATCAGAGTGCGATTAAAGTAAACAAGTACCACTTTATTAATAAGATCAAAATCAGAATAGTGTATGTTTTTCAATCACTAAACATAATATTGTCTAGCTACTCATGTAGAAGAACGACATCTTATTTGAATCTTTTTTGTTCAACTTCTAAAGACAAAAACCATATTTTTGCTAGATAATATTGAATTCAATAAAAATAAAATAACTTTTTCCTATTATTTAATCCATTGAACGTCGGATTGATCTCTAAAATGTCCTTCTCTCTTTCTGTCGATTGAGAGTTTTTAAGAACAAAGAACAAATGACCAATAAGAAATTCGTTATTGTATTTGTTAAAATCGATTATTGATATTTCCATCTATTTTGTTTTAAATATTATACGTTTACGAATTTATTTTAAAAAGGATTCTTTTTCAAAATACAGTTCCGATATTATTATTTTCCTTTTTGTTTTGTTCTAGAAAAGAGATAAAAAAAGAATGTCTGTACGAAATAGTAAAGTAGAGATAAATGGATGGGCAACATTTGATGTACTAAATCAATTTGAAGATCTTCAAAAACAACTTGCTACAGGTTCTTATTATGTACAAAATCTTCTTGATCTTGCTGATAATTATTAATATGCGTTTACAAAGTAATATTAAATATTCTATATAAAAGATATTTATTCTTCATTTAAGATATCTCACGAATTCGAGAACCAAGAGAATTACTTGATATATTTTCATTATTCTATAGTATTGCTATGTAAAAAGATTTTTTTTTTTCTTATATTTTTTCAACAAAATTATTTTTTTAAAATTATTCATTTTGATAAAGTTTCAATCAGTGGACGTTCTCAAACAGTTGAGATATTACTTCGATGTAAGAAAATCAGTTTGTTATATGTATATATTTATTTGTTATATATTAAATTAGTAACGACAAGTGAAATGTCAGAAGCTCAATGACAAATTCATATTGGTCTTTCAGCTGATGATCGACGTTTTCATTTAAATATTATTAAAATGCTTTCATCTCTTCTTGATGAATATATTATTCGATTTGATAATGATCAATCAAATAAATCATTAGATTTTGATATGCTTGCACCAAAAGTATATTCGTTTATTTAATTAAAAGAATTTTATTTTTTGTTATAGAAAGGTAAAAAAGTTAAAGAAGCAGAAAATAGTGGAAAATCTACTTTAACATTTGATGCATTAAGAGATAAATGTTTAAAAGGTCTTTGTGATATTTTTCGATCACATATTAAACCATATTGGGATTCATCAATAATCGATGAACAATTTATCAAGTAAAAAAGTTATTTTCTCTGGTTTTTTTTAAATATTTACTAAAATCGATATACTCTTTGCAGATGTAACTAAACGATGTTATCATTTACTTCGTCGACAAGATATTACTCAAAATTCTATTGTTAAAGAAAATCTTTGATTAATACTTACTATAATGATTAATAAATTGGAACATGCATGAGGTAAATTTAAAAAAATAATTTTCTTATTCGGATTTTATTTTCTATTATTCAGAAGCTTCTATTCAATTTATTCAAGCAGTAAATTTTTATGATAGTAATTCAAGTTTACTTATTACTGTTCTTAATTCACTTTTGACTGATTATCAAGATACATCATTATCTATTGAATTATTAAAGTTTGTTTTATTTATTAATTTTTCTTTTTTTCCTCAAATATTTATTTTTAATTTAGAGAAATTTGTGAAACAAATTTTGTTGCAGCATAAGCTGATAATGCAGCTGCTAAAACAATGGCAACATTTATTATTGATATGGCTAGACTTGATCCACATATTATTCGAATACATATTGATCAAATAACTGATTTATTAACAGCAGAAGTAAATTTCAAGAGAAAATAAAAGGATTATTACTTAACTAGCAAATCATAGATGTGAGGAAGATGGGGTTGCACACGAAAGCGAAAGATGGTCGAAAATTTTCTAATAAATGAACAAAAGCTTTTTTTTCGCAGAAATTTTGAACTCTCAAGTGTAAAGATGAAATTGACACTAATTTTATAGGAAACTAATGATTCAGACAAATACTAAAAAAAGTAGCAGTTTAGAAATTATGGGCAAGTCCTTCTAATTGTTGTAGTAACATTTGCTACCTTAAGGACGAGGTTGTAGATACATCCTCAATATAGACAATCTTACCACAGCAATTAGAAGAACTTACTCATAATTTTGGAACTGCTATTTTTTTTTTGTATCTGTCTAACTTATTGGTTTCCTGTAATATTAGTATATTAAAATAGTTAGTGTCAATTTTGGCAGTGTTTTATTCAGGTTTTCTCCTCCAGAGGAGCAATTTAAAACTTTGAGAGGGCAAACACACAGTATGCGGCTTAGCAACTATGAAAACCAGGAGGCCAACTCTGTCTTTGGAGCGGCGCGTTCTCTTGGCCTCTACGTTAGATAAAACATTGAGTTTCTCCTGTACACCTGAGAGTTCGAGCTTCTGTTTTAAAAAAAAAAGCTTTTTTTTTTATTAAAAAATTTTGGTTCGACCATTTTTCGTAGATCCGGTTGCCTTCTACATTGAGAACATTAGAAAAAAAGCGATATCCCTTTTTCCAATAGACTTCCAGATTCGTCTTGTCTGCAATTTTCAACGATATTGCGAAGAAATTTTTACAAAAATCGTATCTCTATGAATTGATTTACACTTTTACTTATCTTCATCTATTCAATCTTCAATTTTCTGTATATAGGACCTGAATTAAAAATAAATCTAAAATATTTATTTATTATAGAGTCATCATATTCGTGTTGCAGCTTTAACAGCATTTTGTTCTGTTATTGAAAAACTTCTTTTATCAGATGATTTAGATGATGGACAAAGAAAAATGCGTAGTGATCTTTTACAAATATTACGTGTATGTTTTTATTTTTTTTTTTAAATAAAATTTTTATTTTAAATTTCATTAGGAACATGTATTTGATGTAACAGCTTTTGTTCGTCAACATTGTTTACAATTATGGATATCAATTGTACAACAAAAAAAGTTCCTGTTAGACAATATATTCGAGCATTTGAACTTGATCTTGATCGATTAAGAGATTCAACTTGTGCAGTTCGAAAAGATGCAGTAACACTTATTATGCATATGGTTCTTAATAATTTTTATTTTGTTATTGTATATCTATTTAATTGAGAGGGCTTTTATAAAGAATATATTTTATTATAGAATTCAACTCGAGCTCAATTTGAAGAAAGACAAAATGATGCTGAAACACAACTAGATGAACTTCGTACAGAACTTGAAAAATTAAATAAAAATAAAAATGAAGAAAAGAAAATTGAAAAAAAAATTCAATCTGATGATGATGATGAAGATAAAAGTATTAATGATGAAAATGAAATGAAAGTTAATAATAATCAAGTAAATACCTTAATAAAAAAAAATTGCAAATTGAATTTTATTTTATCAAATAGGAAGAAGAAAGTGAAAAAAATAATTCAAATGAAGATCAATCACTTGGAGACACTCTAAATCGAGTTAAAATTGAAGAACAAATAATGCGAGTAGAAGAAATTGTTATTTTATATAAAGTAATTATTTTTAAGTAAACAAAAGAACAATCTTTAAGAAATTAATTTATTAGGATGGTCTTCGATTTATGGATTTAATTGAACAAGCAAATCGACATGTTGTTAATTTACTTAATTCTCCTACATTAGGTAATTGTAAACACGTACTAGATTTTTTTGTTAATCTTCGTCGTTATCGTCTTGTGTTGGCAAATATTGAGCAAAGTGTACGTTTAATGTTTAGTCTTATTTGGTCTCTTGATAAATCGATTTGTGAAGCAATTACACAAGCTTTTGTTAAAGTCTATTTTGATGTTGCACCAACTGTTCCTCCACCGTATGTCAAATTCAATTTATCAAATTTATATCTAAATGGAGAAAATTATCTAAATTATTGATTGACTCATATTTATCGAAGATATAATGTGGGCTGAGCAAGTCTTGCCACGATGTGTTAAACACAAGAAAAGGTAAAACTATTATATCTATAGTTTTTCAATGCAGAGAATTTGAAAAAAACGTTTGACCAGAAGAAATAACAAATCGAGGAAGAAACAGCGAAGTTCAAGAGATTTCAGTAGATATTAAAAACTATGACTTTAAGACTTCATAAAACGTCGAAATACCTCAGAAGTCCTCATAAGACCTTATGAGACTTCAAAATCAAAGTCTCTACTCTTTTCTCTTTACAACAAATGATACACATAATGAATTTGATACTGAATTAAACTTTATTGAAAATGGGATTCATCTCTATGCTTCAGAAAAGGAATGTAGATTTTTGTCTGTAGAAAATTTTTGTAATGCAATAGTGTACATCAATGATAAAGTTCTATTTGACAACTGGTAATAAATGAACAAAAATGACTTTGTGGAGGTTAGTGCAAGAAAGAACCAATGGACTTCGAGATACTTCTAGATATTTCAGTAGATTTTGAGTGAGTTCAAAAGATATCAACGGGCTTTATTAAACTTCAAAAGACTCCTGGACAATACATATTGCTGTTTCCTTATTGGGTTAATGACTCTTATTCTCTCTGCTCTATTGAAAATTATTTACTTTCATATAAATTCAAACAGTGTCTTTTATTCTATTCCCTAGGTCGAATAAGCATGGTCGGTAAAGAACCATTTCCGATCGTGTTTTGTCCTATTGTAAATAGTCTGATACTTAGTTTTTCGACCGTTTCATGATACGAGAAATTATAGTCATAATGCAGCCTGCGCTAAAGCGGTATGTTACGACTTTTCACGATCTCAAACTGTATGAAATATGGGACAAATTACATGACAAAAGATCTTCTCCTCTTCATCTTATTATCCGCTTCTTCATGTGATAACATCTATACTCCACACAAAATTATAAAAGTTTTCCAAAACTCTTTCGATAACAATTTTGAATTTTGCTCTGAAATATACGCGTAAAAGTCATGAAAATTTTTTAATAAAATAATTGTATTTGTAATTGATTTATTTAGTTTAGACGTATTTCACTTCATCAAGCTCATGCAATAATTCGTGCACTTAAAGGTGCAACACTTTTTGAAGAATTATGTTTTGAAGAAATTCTTAAACAATTAATAAAAGGAAAAAAAATAGCAACTGAACCTATAACTAAAGCTTTATGGAAATTTTATAAAGCACCATCAGATGATAATACATGTGTCATTGCTGAAAAAATTCTTTCATTTATTGTTGGGTAAAATAAATAAATTTAATTATTTTTCATTTTGTATTTATCTAATAGAAATGAAGTTAGTTCAAAATTAAATCATATAACAGATCTTATTCAAGCTAAAGAAAAAAATCGTCGTTTTGTATATATTTCTTGTTTACTTTTACAATTATCAGCAACACCAAAAAAAGGTTTTTTAAAATCTTAATATTTTATTTATTTATTTATTTTAAAATAGATTGAGAATGGTATTAGACCAAAACAATTTCGTTTACCAAAAATTCATCGTTTATTTAAAATACTTGCTAACATTCTTGTTTCAAGTAATAACGAAAATAAAGTTTAAATTTTAATTCTTTATCTTTTTTTTAAAGCTTTCCATGATGTATCTGATCGACAATAGACACCAATGATGGAATCAGTATCTGATGTTATTTTTAAATTAGCTGATGGTTCAATTAAACATATTGAAAATATAATAAAAGAAACTTGCTGCTAAAACAGGTGTTAAACTTGGTGGTTTATTTAAAATTTCAACATCATCTCAATCACAATCTTTATCTATTGAATCAATGGATTTTCAAAATAAAAATTTCTCATTTTTTTTTTTTTAAGAAATTTTATTTAGATGGTGGTAATGATAATGATCAAAATCAATTATCACAACATCATTCTCAAACAAATGAAAATTCAGCATTAATGTTAGTTCGATTTTTAAATTGTTTAGGAAAATCAGCTCTGTTGAAATTGTTTATTATGTTGATTGTACAATTAAAGATGAACTTTTACGTCGTAAAGAAGCTAAACAATCATTATCAGATAATAAAAAATTACAACAAAAAACAAATAAATCAAATAAAAAACGAACAAAATGTAAAACATTAGATGAAGATGATGAAAATCAATCAACATCAATTAATGATACAATTAATAATTCATTAAATCTTACTGAAAAATTTAAATATTTTAAATAAAAGTTTTTTTTTAATTTAATTTAATTTATTTAGTTAAATTCAACAAATAATCAAACAATTGATGATGAGCAAGATGATAAAATGTGTCAAGTATTTGGTGATGCTGAAGCGGAAGATCCAGTTGATAATGAAATTAATTTATATATTCAATCATTATGTGAAAAAAAATTCATTATTAATGCAATATAAAAATATTCTTGAACAAGTAAACAATCTCAAACTATTATTTCACATAACTAATCATCCTTTAACAACGTTTACATACAAATGTATCGCTGAAAAAAACAGAAAATATCTCTTATAACTTCACTATTGCTAGAGCTCTGTCAAGCAATTTTTTTTCGTATGAGAAGTTACATTATCAAGCAAACAAACTTCAAAAATGTTTTTTTCGCCTTTGATCGAAACAAAAAATTTAGTCTTTTTTCAATATCCAAAAATTATCATACAATAATATTTTCTTAATGACTTCAATTTCTTGTGTTATCGTTTTGATAAATATTCATTTTGATGTAGCATCACAAAAAGACATAGACTGATGATATGGCCTTCATGATCAGCTGATTTGACAGTATTACTCTGCTTTTTGTAATGATGTGTCCAAATAAATGTTTATAACAAGATATGGATAATTCAAGAATCACAAAAATTCAAGTCATTAATAAAAACAAACACTGCATAATGTTTTTCGAGATTGGAAAAAAAACAAAATTCCTGTATTTATGATGGAACATACCCAACTGTCGGATGTCGTTTGACCCCATATTTTGGGTACAAACAGAGCTCTGTGAGACTAAGAAAAGCTTAAAAGAATTCGGGTCTATGGCGTACCTAGACGGAGATCTGATTATCTCAAGGGTAAAAAAAATGGACTTTTCACTGTTTTTTCAGCTTTTCTTGGTTCTTTGTATGGTTACGATCAGTAACTTTTAACATAGAGTTCCATTTAATACTCAATTGTGACTTGTTTTCACTGGCAAGAGTTGATCAAAAGCGAGAAACATCCTTTCATTTCATGTTTTTAATGACCTTGTATCTTATATTGGATCTCATTTTCGATAAGTATCGTTTTCATTAACTCATTTTTTTATGTTCCTGTGTATGTGCACAAAAAAACTGAGGATTCATATTGTTTTACATTACATTATGGTCTTGATTTAATAATATCTTTGTTTTGATCGATCGTTTGAGAGGAAATGATTCGAGATCGTAGTATTAAATGAAAACTCTATGCTAAAAATGATAGATCGCAACCACACAAAAGAACCGAAGAGGTTAAAAAACAATGAAAAAGTCCATTTTTTCGACTCTTGAGATAATTAGATCTCTGTCCAGGTACTCCGTAGGCCCAAATTCTTTTAGGCTTTTCTTAGTCTCACCGAGTCCTGCTTGTACCCAAATATGGGATCAAACGACGACCGATAGTTGAGGATGTTCTCTCGTTAGATCGGAGATGGTAGCTCAGAAGAGTTCAGGAAATAGAAGAGTTATCAGTAGAGCACGTCAGGTGTGAAATTTTGGTCTCGGTCTTGGACCCAAGTTCGATCCGTATCCTGAATACTCACAATGAAATTTTTTAATCGAACCTGATAGTCGCGTCTGAAGGTACAAGATACTTTTTTCGATGATTTGTATTCGGTGAATAGCACATCCTACACATTTCTCAGGCAATCTTGAAGGTGATCGTATAAGAATTAGCTTATCGAAGTCTATTCAGTTATTTATTTAGTTTATATTTTGAAAAAATCTAAGCCTTAAATCGTTTGCATTTCACACAATGTTTAGGCTTGATATCAGTTAAGGAAAGTCAATTTCTATTTGGAAAATTTCGATTCATGATCTATATAGAGTTTATTTTCGTTGATTTCAGATTTCTGATTGAAAATAATAAACTTTTGTTTTTAAGATTCTTCTTCATCCAAATGAATATCGTGAAGAAGCATTATAATTAAGTGCAGCAATATGTTTATGTTAATTTATGTTACTATCAGTTGAACTATGTGAAACACATGCAAAAATGTTATTTGATTTATTAAAAACTTCTACATTTGAAAGTGTTAAAGTTGCTATTATGGTTTTAATGAATGATTTTTATCTAAAGTAAATCTATCAAATAAGAAAATTCTCTTATTTCTTTTTCTAAAGATATTCATTAGCATTTCCTGTTTATTTCAATGATCCTTATGGTTGTTTACGTGATCGTTCAGATAATGTACGTTTATCAGCATTAAAAAACAATATCAAATTTAATTCTTAAAGAAATGGTTTTTGTTAAATTAAATATTTTATTTTAGAGTGAAAATCCAGGATTATCTCTAAAAGAAATTCTATCAGAACTTGGTGCTTGATAGAAATCTTGTGATCCTTAAGTATTATTCAAATTTCATTCAGTTTATTTCTATTTATTTCTATTTTAGACAAAACAACATTTTCAAAAATTAGCTGATGCTGAAAAAGCTGAATATGAAGAAAAATCCAATGCTTATAAAAACAAAAAAACTGGCAAATCAACTAAAATAGATCGATCAATTAATGAAGAAAATAATCAATCAATGGAAACAAATTCATCATAATTTATTTTCTTTAGGTTTTTTTTTTCTATTGAAATATTTTTTTTCTAATCAACTAATGTATCTATTTTATTTTTTTAAATCTATTTTATTTTTTTTAAATCTATTTATAGCGATATATTTATTCAAATAAAATGACGAAATGATGAATTTTTGAAAAATAAATTTACTTTTATTTGACTTTTCTAGTCAATAATAAGTACATCTTCAATTTCGTTGGTTTTGTCATGGTAAACGGCAAAATAGATTATTTTGCAACTTATCAAAAAAACGTAAATAAAAAGCACAAAAAATTATTAATTAATTCTTAAATTTTTCTTTACGTAAGAGAGATTTTACTACGTTTAAAAAACGATTGTGAAAAGAAACAGAAATTAGAAAAAACGATACTTGAAATTCTTATGCATGCATATCAAAATAAACAATCATATCTTCAAGATGAAGAAAAAAAAATTGAAGGTAAACAACCACATTTTGAACGTAAACAACCAGTTTATCCAGGTTGGCAACCAATTTATTCAGGTGGACTACCAATGTATCCAGGTGGACAAACATTTTATTCAGGTGGACAACCAATTTATCCGGGTGGACAACCAATTTATCCAGGTGGACAATCATTTTATCCAGGTGGACAATTATTTTATCCGGGTGGACAACCAATTTATCCAGGTGGACAACCATTTTATTCAGGTGGGCAACCAATTTATCCAGGTGGACAACCAATTTATCCAGGTGGACAATCATTTTATCAAGGTGGACAATCATTTTATCAAGGTGGACAACCATTTTATCCAGGTGAACGACGATCTTTTCAAGGTGGACAACAATATTTTGAACGTAAACAACAGATTGATCCAGATGAACAAAAAACTTCTAATGATAATCGAAATATGGAGTCTGTCATAGGAAGGCTAGATGAATTAGAATGTGATATTAATAAGTCATTCGAATTATTGAATGCTTTAGACCAACAATTAGGTAAACAAAATAAAAACGTTTAAATTCGTCTATTAATTCTTTTTGCTTTTAGATTTAGATCTATAACAAGAACAATTAGGTAAACAAAATAAAAACGTTTAAATTCGTCTATTAAATTTTTTTGCTTTTAGATTTAGATCCACAAGAAGAACAATTAAATTAAAAACGAAAACGAAGAGAACATGATGGTCAATTAAATGAATAACTTCATCAACAAAAAACTTCAACACAAGAAGAAAAATTAAAATTTTTTTTTTGATTCATCATAAATATAAATCTCCATATTCTTGAACAGTTGTTCATCGTCTTGTGTCAAGGTTGTTTTTAATTTATAGTTGTTGTTTCATCATCATCGATAACAAATAAATTTTGTCGAGAAAAACTTCATAATTGCATCATAGATTTCTTGTTTTAACACTTGCCATTGAATATCATCATGTTGTTTTGTAATTCTTATGAAATCAGATCCAAAAAAAAACACATTTAACACATTCGGTACGAAATAATTGTCTCATTAAAAAACAAGACATTCAAAAAAAAAAGATAGACTGTTTGTAACATACTTTGCAAGTGGAAAAGAATGAACTGATTGAATATTAGGAAAATCTCGAGTACCAACGTCTGATTCAAGTACTGGACGACTGGATAAAAATTAAGGACTATTAGGATTTGAAGTTTCTTGAGATTAAATAAACATTGAATAATCTATTATATCAAAAGTCTCTTTTTAACAATTATATTGACATCTGTTAAAGACGCGAGCACTAATATCCCAAACAATTAATGAAAAGATATGTTTTGAATTGAAAATATACAGTCTCACTATCTATCGAAATTCATTATACTAATATATTCGTGGCTTATGCAGATGAATAAAAATATAATAATATTTATGTAGAACATTCCAAAATTGAGAAGAAAAATTTCCGCGAAATACCGATTGTAATAACATGTGAAAAGATAAAATAGATAATTTCCAAAAAAAAAATCAATACTGTTTCCTTATTTTAAATGTTTTATTCTAAAACATAGCAGAATAGAAGTTATAATATAATAGTCAATTAGGAGGTGAAAAGAAAATTAGAAAATAGAATATGTCTTTAGACATTGCTTGTCAAAATCTCGGTATCAGCGATTACATGTCTTCGGAGAATATCCCTGGAAACTCAATTATGTCCTAGGGTAGAAGATATAGAGATAGATAGGTATAGGAGATATAGGAGATATAGGAGATACAGGCGATATAGGAGATATAGGAGATACAGGCGATATAGGAGATATAGAAGATACAGGAGGTATAGGAGGTATAGGAGCTATAGGAGGTATAGGAAATATAGGAGATATAGGAGGTATAGGAGGCATAGGAGATATAGGAGGTATAGGAGATATAGGAGATATAGGAGATATAGGAGATATAGCAGTTATAGGAGATATTGGAGATACAAGAGGTATAGAAGATATAGGAGGTATAGGAGTTATAGTAGATACAGAGATATAGGAGACATAGTAGACAGCTATGTATTTTTTATGATTGAATTTTTCAAGAATGGTTGGCAAGTGGCACCAAGATTTTTTATGGTTGATTTTTTCGAGCAAGGGTCAGGAAGTGGTACCAGTAGTTTTTGTGATTGATTTTTTCGAGCAAGGTTCGGCAAGTGGCACCAATATTTTTTATGAATAGATATTTAAATTCAAACACTATTGAATGATTAGCTGTATTAGTTAATCTATATCTCCTATATCGCCTATACCTCCTATATCTCCTATGCCTCCTATACCTCGTATATCTTCTATACCTCCTATATCTCCTTTACCTCCTATATCTCCTATACCTCCTATACCTATCTATCTCTATATCTTCTACCCTAGGACATACTTGAGTTTCCGGCGATATTCTCCGAAGACATCATATGGTATAAGATGTGATGTTGCTTGCAATATCCATATCAATATATCGATTTTGAACTTCAACAATGATACCGCCCATAGTTAATAGATCAATAGTTGTTTCAACATGAAGTTTTTCATCGTTTTTACTAAATTATTTTAGTACATAATTAAGGTCATTACGTAATTCATCATCTATTGCTTCAGCTGTCATAACTCTGCATAATAATTCTCCTCGGTTAGAATCCATTAAACGATTCATAAACTATAACAAATTTTTGCCGATTTTTTTTCGCGTGCGATAATGTACATGATTGAGTTCGCGTATAGATATCTTTTATAATAACTCTGGATGAAAATAGAACTTACTAGTAGTTGAATGGAATAGAGTTAAACTAAGAGATAATACATCATGTAACCGTTGAAAATCTATACAAATTTATATAATTAGATTTACAAAATTCTTATTCAATATAGCCCAGGTCGAATTCACCCCATTGGATCCGATGGGAATTCGTCGGAAGTTGTGGGATGTCGAAAAGTGTCGGAATAGCCAGAATTTCTGTTGGAATTCTGAAATTCCGATACTTTCCGACATCCGACAACTTCCTGTCGGAATTCGATACCAAGGATTCCGACAACTTCTGATGAATTCCTATCGGATCCGATAGCTTTTCCGATGGAATCCGACGACATCCAACTGTCGGATTGTTCGTCCTGGGAGCTCATGTAGGTCACATATAGAACACAGCATAAGATCATATATGAAAACAAGATGTTGAAGCATGAAAATCACGTATAGTATGTTTAAAGAACTATCAAATGTAGTCTGATCTACATAAGTTTTTATATATAAATTATGAATTTGAAACCAATTTTTTTTATTACGAACAAACATAATCTATATAATATCTGATTATCGATCAAATTGGCTATTGAGCATCATCATAGTGTACCAATTGTGATCCG